AGTGAATGAGGCAAGGTATTGCAGGCCAAGAAAGAAAAGTCTTATGGTTAAAACAGCTGGATTCTGTCCTTGAGAGCTAGATTCTATCCATGCGGTTGACAAAGTGCTCCTTGGCAATCCTGGGCAAGTCTCTTAAACCACACTTTTCACAGTTGAGCACTAATTATCCTAATTTTCTGAGTACCTGAGTGAGACGCATGTGGTCTGATTTTCAGAATTCTTGAGCACTCATTCAAGGCTACAACTGAAGCAAACTGTGCCTTTATCATGTGATGTGGAAAGCTTACATGGATTCAAGTAAAAAAAAATCATGGGGACAGGATGCAAAAGTAATTTTACTAATATTATGAAGCACTTGCACACTATAGTGAGGAGCACATGGGAGGACATGAATAATTTTGCCTTAAGACCAGTGTTGAATAAAATAAATAAGGCACGGGCCATATACTGAGCAACAAAAAGAAAACAAAATGTTGAACAGCTGCTCACTAAGCAAACATTGTCTGTTAGTGAATAGTGTTAGAGAATTTAACCTTCCAACTTTAATAATAGGTGTGTGTGCATGTATTTTTGGAATAGATTTTCATTGTCTACGTGGTCAGCAATCACAATGGGGAAAAGTAGGTAGAGATTCTGTCAGTCTCTAGCCAAAAAAACCTCTACTGACATAAGTCACAGCTGTCAGCAGACAATATGGTTATGATGACATATGGTCTCTGGATTCCATGGGCTTTGCATTGCTTCAGTGCAGTGTGAATACACCTGAGGGCTTGCCTGGGAGCCTCAGGCTTGACTTTGCCTTATTAGTATTTTTATCTCTTTGTATTATGGTAGCACCTATGGACCTCAGTACCATAGGCAAGGCTGCCTGGCCCCCCAAACTGGTACTACACAATCCATAACAAAAAGACATTCCCCACTCTCAGAAACTTATACAAGACTCACATGACCCACTGGGCTTTTTTTAAGTTCGGGTCCTCTAGAAACACATCCTTCTAGGATCTGCTTGGTTCTTTGCAATTTGCTCCTTCTTGACTGTGAGTAGAGAAAAATGACTGTGCTTCCCAAGCCTAGGTCACAAGGGGCATAAAACAAAATGTTATTGGTGATATTAGAGGAGGGGGACACTTATCTTCCATCCCCTGGTCTAACATGCTCCAATGAGCAGGGAGTTAACAATACTGACATTTCAAATATCAGCCCTGGTATCTGAATAAGAATGGAGAAGAGCACACATATCACAGTTATTGTTTTAAGTTTGCAAACACGGTATCTTTTAGTTTCAAAATTGTGACAAATGTATATTTCAGTAACCACAACAGCTGGGGATTTACTGTTTTCCCCTCTTATGTTAAATCTTAGATTTTTTGAAAAACAAAGCAGAGTGAAAGAGCTGCCCCTGCACTATTTGAACTGTACTCAATTTACACTATAATGTTTTACTGGCATAGCTGTAGTAGGACATATATATTGCACCCCTACCTGACATAGCACTACAAGAAAAATCCCTACTGTACGTGCACTTTTAGGGCAAACACCCCTTTAGCTAGGATAGTTTATTCAGTTGGGGAAACTGTTTAAGATGTACCAGGAAACAAAACCTCTTTTGCCATTATAAACTATTTCTCCACTGAGGGAGTTTCTAAGGAGGCATAACAAGCAGGGTTGGCACCCTGGGCCAACCCTGCATGAGACTGGGGAGGGGGGAAGGAGAAAGCAGGAGGGACATGTGTTCCAAAAGCTGGGGAGGGAGGAATGCAAAAGTCACCTAGACCGGGGACTCAAAAAGAGTCTTTGGGTGCTGCAATCACCTCCACACAGTTTGCCCACCCCAGCTGTTGCTTCTACAGCAGCAGCATGGTGTCCATGCACCCAGCAGGTGCTTTTGCTGCCAGAACACAGACTCTGCAGGGGTGCAGGAGGTGATTCTGGCACCCCTAAGCTGGTGCCAGGGTGGTGCCCCACTCACCCGTCCCTAGTTAAGCTACTGGGTTTCCGATACTTCATGTCAGAGGTTGGCAACATTTTCTTGTAGTGGGCCAAAACAAGAAACAGTCCCCACTGTGATCCAGCAGAGGCTGACCTTGGTTGAAAAACCTCGCTGCCCACCTGTAGCACAGCATAAGCAAAGCACTCCACTGCCATATGCTACTGATGCCATGTCTCTGCCAGTCTGATTCAAAGGCTGTAGGTTGCCAACCCCCTGCCTTTTACCAATACTAGCACATCCTTTCAAATGTAGGGAAGGCTTCCAACCCTCAATCCAAGTTGTCGTAGGTTATTCATCTGATCACTAAAGTAAACAGTTCTATGCAATCCGAAGCTTCATTTTTATTCTTCACAAATTAGATGGTAACAGTTAAAACTTTAAACTGTGAGACAAGTATTAGCCTATGAATGGTTCTTTGTGGCACGGGTGTTTTTGTTTGTTTGTTTCAGTGTAGCCCACAGAAACTTGTTGGCAGTGCTCAGCCTACAGGACCAGAACTGGGGAAAAATACATGACACATGATAATACTTCTCCTTAATTTGCATTCAACAATTGTTTAAAAGTCAGACATGCCCGCTCTTTTAAACTAACTGAAAATACGCCCCCACACACACACATACACGCATACACAATTCTAATATTTTCTCCATCACTAGGCTCTAGACAGTAAGTGCATGCATTATTTATTGAAAATAATTGCAAGACAATTAGTTGAGCGAAGGTAATAATTTCTGAATGGGAGTAGGTAGTGAGACACAAAAAAGGCATATGGTATTTTACACAGTGTTTATAAATAATAAATGCTGGCTAGAAAAGAAAAGCAGCATGGGCTTGACTGATCGAGAATAAGCAGAGAAAATGACATTTTCACAGGGGCGTATATTGATCCAGACCTCAGTTGAAGCCTGTGGGTTTTGTTTTGTTTTTTTACACATTATCTCATTTGTGAAGTGTTCCCACAACGCCCAGGTCTCTGCTCTAGGATTGAGGATTTCAGAGTATCCCTGGCTCTGTTCTCTACTGCAGTGGTTCTCAACCTTTTTTAGACTCAAGGTACCCCTCAGGAGATTTGAGGCACCCCTCAACAGACTTGAAGCACCCCTCAGAAAGTGCTGCTTCTTTGTTTTTAACTCTTTTCTTGACTATGAAATATAATAGAGCAGCTCTTCTGTTGCAAAAAACTCTGAAAGACTGCAGCATGGCAGAATGGTTTCAATGCTATTGATTCCTGCTTGATGTCTCTGTGTTTATTTTGTGAATCCTGTTTGCACACCTAGCAGTGCTGACGTTGTGTGGCACCCCGCAGCACCAGGATCTCAAGGCATCCAAGGGTGCAATGGCCCATTGTTTGAAAATCACTGCTCACACTGATCTTTAGCAGCTGTTTCTTGGGATGAGAAAAAACATGAGCTTCCCCACCGTGTGCTGTGAAAACCCAGGGAGCACAATTTGGAGCTCTCAGGGAGTACAATTCTGCCATAAGGGGAGGCATGGTTTTGTACTTCCCCTCATCCTCCCTCTTCTCCCCATCAATGCTCTTATTATGCAAGCCACGCTTCACGGCCTTCAGCAAAACAAAGCACAAGTCTGGCTTCCACCTCCATGCCTCTACTTTAATTTGACTGCAGACACCTGCCCTTCACACCTAGTCCTACCCTCCTCCCTGGCACTGTTTTGCCAATGCCCCTCTGTGCTGCCCTGTCTTGCATGTCTCCGCGCTGCGCCTTCCTCTGTTCCCTGCCTGCTTGCTCTTTTCCCGGTTGCCCCACCTTACTGCCCCTCCTCACCTTGGCACTTCTCTACCTGCTCATGTCTGCCCCTGCCTTATGCCATTCAGGACCCACTCCTGTCCCTGGCCCCTGTGCTCTCTACCAGCCCCCTTCCCCACCAAGGCTTTTCCCAGTCATTTTCCTTCCTAACTCCCACCCTGAGGCTATGCCCCTTGTCCTGTAGCCCTCCATGCTTCCCATGCACACTGGTCCAATTCAGGGCAACCCCTGGGACCTCAGACATGTGGGCTTGGGTTTTGCAGCTCTGCACCTATCAACCTAAGGAAAGGAAAGGAAAGGAAAGGAAAGGAGAGACAGAGAGAGAGAGAGAGAGAAAGTGTCCAAAATATGGGAGCAGCTCCTCAACAGTCAACCTAAGTGTGTGTGTACATGTGTGCGTGTCTGTGCATGTGTGTGTGTACATCCAAACTATGGGAGCAGCCCTCCATCAGTCAACCCAAATGTGTGTGTATGTGCGTGCGTGCGTGTCCAAACTATGGGCGCAGCTTCCTGTCAATCAACCCAAGTGTGTGTGTGTGTCCAAACTAGGGGAGCAGCTCTCCATGGGTCAACCTAAGTGTGTGCATGTGTGTCTATCCAGACTATGGGAGCAGCTCCCCATCAGTCACCCTAAGGAAAGTGTGTGTGTGTGTGGTGTGGATGTGTCCAAACTATGGGAGCAGCGCTCCATCAGTCAACCCAAGTGTGTATGTGTGTGTGTGTGTCTCCAAACTAAGAGAGCAGCTCCCCAACAATCAACCTACCGAAAAAGAGAGAGAGAGGGGGAGTCTCCAAACTATGCGAGCAGTTCTCCATCGATCCGTGTGTGTGTGCGTGCTGCGTGTGCAGGAGGGCACCGCGGGCTGTGCGTGCCCGAGGCGGTTTGTGCCTCTCCCCGGGGCAGAAGGCAGTGCCCGGCTGCATGCCCTGGGCTGCCGGGCGGAGCAGGCGGTGGCGGGCCGCCTCCTCCTGCCCTTTCGCGAGTGAGGCGGAGCTGGGCTCCGCC